CTCGAGTAGGCGACGTTAGTCCTTGATGGGTTTGCAGCGGAATGAATTCAAGGCACGTTCTTCTGAAATTGTATGTCTATAGCAGTCGAAGCACATGCTTCAAACATTGAAACCCGGCCACCTCCAAAGCAATTCCACCCCCTCTACCATCCAAGCCCTCAAAAAACCTCCCCACTCAGAATCTCCTCCCTGGTGCCCCAGAAGAACAAGGGGATATGCTCCCGCGGCGCCTTGACAGTAACCACCTCCCCCCCAGCAAACGTCTCATTCGACCACCAATACGTCCACTTCCCCCTCTCCCCCGTACGAGGCAAATACACCTCCCACTCCGAGACATTCGGCCTGGTCACCGGACTCACCAACAACCGCGGCCCGAACATATACGACTGGGTCGTGAAATTCGTATTGGCCGCCACCAGCCCACTCACGTTCCTATCCGTGTGCTCAAAATCCATATACAAGGGCCGCATAATACTCCTCCCCTCGGTGCTAAACCGCTCAAACACATTCGTCAAATAGCGTGCCAACTGATACCGCAACCGGATATACCCTGTGATGATCGGGGTATTCTCGGCACCGTACGACCACGGCTCGTTCGCGCAGGTATACGCACTCTGCACACTACACGCGCGACTGCCATGGGTGCGCATGAACGGCAGGAAGGTCGCCCACGCGAACCACCGCACGTACAGCTCGCGGAACTCGGGGGTATCGATGTCCCCGCTCCAGGCGACGGTCGGGTCGGCCTGGAACCCGCCGGCGTCGACGGTCCACCAGCCCCAGCCGGTGGCGGCGGCCGACAGGCCCGACGCGATCTGCGCGGCGAGCGTGTCCCAGACGGAGGTGGTGTCGCCGGACCAGATGATGCTGCAGAAGCGCTGCGAGCCGATGTACCCGCTGCGGCTGAGGGAGATGTGCGGGCAGGGGTCGCCCGGCGCGGTGGCGGTCACATTGCGGTAGCCCTCGTCGATGGCCTGCTGGTGGGCCCACGGGTAGAGCTTCCCCACGCCGCGCTGGGTGCCCGCGGCGTACAGGACGTCGGGCAGCGCGTAGGGGATCGACTGGATGTAGGTGCTTTGGCCGTTGTTCTCGTAGGCTTCGCCGAGGGCGCCGCCGTCGGCTTGGTCGATCCAGAAGTTTTTGATGCCGTGGGTGTAGTAGTTGCGGTGCAGGGTGGACCACAGAAAGTGGCGCGCCAGCGGGTTCGTCGCGTCGTAGTTGCGGATGTAGCTGCCGTTCCAGCTGTCGGTCGTGCCGGGCCCGGAGCGCGTGGCTGATAGAAACCCCTGGGCTTGCAGCGTGGCGTAGTTGACCGAGTTGTCCGCCACGCTGGGCCACAGGCTGGCCATGAGCTCTGCGCCGGTGGCGTTGCGGACGACTGCAGCCATCTGGCTGACGTTCGGCCACAGCCGCGGGTCCAGCGCCCAGTCGCCCTGGTGCGCCCACGACTGGTAGTCGATCACGATCAGCGAGACGGGGATGTCGTGCGCCGCGAAGCTGCGCGCCAACTGCTCGACCTCGCTCTGGTTCTCGTAGCGCAGCTTCGACTGGATGTATCCCAGGCTGAAGGCGGGCGGGGTCGGGGCCCGGCCGGTCAGCGCGGAGAGGCGGCGCTGGAGGGTGTCGTATTTGGACACGGAAGAGGTGGTGTTGTTGTTGTTGGCAGAATCGTCGTCCGCAGCGATAATCACGTAGTCGACGAGGGTGGTCGACTCGGCGACGAACTTGGTGCGCAGCGCCCCGAACTCCATCCGGCCCTCGGCGGGCGTGTTCCACACGAACGCGTAGCCCTTGTTGCTCATGAACACCGGGGTGGGGATGTAGGTGTTGAAGTTGACCAGGTCGATGACCGAGCCCTTCTTGTTGATGCGGTGGTCTTGCTGCGTGCCCGTGCCGTAGATCTGCTCGTCTGGCGTGGCGCTGAAGCTGAATTCCGCGCGGAACTCGGCCCCCGGGCCGGGCCACGTGTAGGTTCGCGGGTTGAGTGACTTGAGCGGGGCGTATTCGTTGGTGAGGAGTGTTTCGCTGCCGTCGGCGTTGAGACGCGAGAAAGACAGCCGGTAGCCCCCCTCGTTGCCGCCCCAGCCGGTCGTGCGGAGAAGGAGGTTGCCGTTGCGGAGGGTGAGGGGCGTTTCGCCGGTGGAGGTCTGGTCGTAGCTCATGCCGTGGGCGGTGCCGTTCTCGAAGCCCTCCAGTGGTGGGTCGTAGATGAAGCTGATTTCCTGGCCGGTAGGGGGGCGGAAGGGCCAGGCGCGCACGCGGAAGCCATCGTAGCCGTAGGGTTGGATGAGGAGGGTCTCGAAGCCGTGTTGCAGGCGCAGGCCGGTAGAGTTGGGGTGGAAGTAGTCGGCCAGGCAGTGCCCGACCACGAGGAGTGTGAGGAGGAAGTACATGTTGCTGGACGCACTGCTTGCGTACAAAGGGAGATGAACATCGCTGCAGAGTATTTAAGCACGCTGGAGTGATTTAGCCGATTAGCCTAAGACAGGAGGAAACCATCGTACGACGAGCAGAATCAAGGAGTACATGCGGACTCTGGTGCTAGCGGGAGGGGTAGTGTCGATCAATGTCGATCAGGCAAGGGTCTTGAGGGGGGTCCGGAGTTTGAGCGAGACCGAGGCGATTGCAGACATCTGGGCATACCGGCAGAATGAGGTTGTTGCGTATAGGGCTTGCGTATCAGGTGATTTGCCGGAGCATTGCTGGATCGCATCACATCGACTCCCAACAGAATTCTGATGTCGGAGATGATCTGGTATAGTAGGTGATGGTTGTTTAGTTGAAGTTGCAGTGGCCTCCGCCGGGATTTCACTCTTTCTTCTCGGTGGGCCTGTCGGGATGTTCCGTCCGTATGCAGCCTGACGTGGCCGTGCAGCTTCGAGCCGAGGGTTCCGGATGTGCAGCAGGCCGACCTGCCAAGCCCGAAGAAGATGTGGCTCATCCTTCGGTTCTGGAGAAGACACTACCGACAAGACTGTTGTCTGAAGGAAGAATATTAGCCTCTTGCTAAGATTTATCTGAGAAGTGGTGTGTCTGGCGCAAGATGCATTAATATTAGAGGCCCTGACAGCCATACCCCATTCCTACCTCATTTTCTCTATATTTCACCTCTAGTTTACATGAAGCAATGAGCCCTTCTCTATACACCAAAGCTAGTAAATTAGTCCTGAAGCTATGGAGATCACAGCCCCGTCAAGGGCTGTGTCGTGTTGATGTCTTGGGGTGATGTGCACCACCAATTGGCCGGACCGGAGCCAAAACAAATGACCGGGTGCGGAGCCCCCTCCAAAGACCCGACCTGATTGGCTCGCTCGCCGGTCCTACGTCACAGCCTCGGCTTCGCAGTCAGAAAAGAAACCAACCCTTCAGTGAAGACACCATATCAAAACGAGCACCTTTTCCAACCAAAAGCTACAATTGACTCACATTACCCAGACCATTCACCCGCCCTGAACTCCGGGAAACCGTTCTCCCGGGACCTTTCATATAAACATCCCCTCAATCACCGTCTCCCCCTCAACCACACCCACGACCCCTTCACACACAGAAACAACACAACCATGACCAAGTCCAAGCTTACCCCCCCAAATCCCCTGGGCATCGCCACCCTCAGCCTCGGCAGCGCAGCCCACCACACCCTCGAAGCGCGCCTCCACGCCGCCGCCGCAGCAGGATACACACACATCGACCTGTTCGACGACGACTGGGCCCACTACCTGAGCGCGCACCACTCGCGGGCCCTCCCCCGACCGCAGACCCCTTGGACATCCACCGCGGAGACCCTCCGCATCGCGGCGCAGCTCGGCTCGCTCGCCGCCTCCCTCTCCCTCAAGATTGCCTGCACGCAGCCCTGCCGCGAGATCGAGGGGATCCTGGACCCCACCGCCCGGCGCGCCGCCCTGGACTCCGTCGCCGCCCGGTTCCCCTTCATGCGGGCCTTCGGCACGGATCTCGTGTTCCTGTGCGCCAACATCCGCACCGACGAGGGGGTCACCTCCGATTTAGAGGTCGTAGCGAAGGACCTCGCCGAGCTGGGCGATATGGCGCGCGCGTACGCGGAGGCCGACGGCGGGCCGATGCTGCGGATCGGGTACGAGGGGCTCAGCTGGGCGCGGAGGAATACCTGGGCTAGTTCGTGGGAGGCGGTGCAGGCGGCGGACCGGGCGAATGTGGGGTTGGTCGTGGACGCGTTTAATGTTCTGGCCGTGGAGTGGGCGGATCCGTATGCTGCTGATGGGTCGGGGAGGGTGCATGGGAATTTGGAGGTGGCGAGGCGGGGGTTGAGGGAGTCGATGCGGAGCTTGGTGAGGCGTGTGCCTGCGGAGAAAATCTTCTTCTTTCAGGTGGGCGATGCGGTGAGGGTGGGGCTGGAGGAGGTTAGGGCTTGGGATGTGCAGGGTGACACGCCCAGGCTTTTGCCTTGGTCCAGGGGGTATCGTTTGTTTCCCGGGGAGAAGGAGAGGGGCGCGTATATGCCGGTGGAGGTGGTGGCTGCTGCTGTCTTGGAGACGGGATATGAGGGCCCTGTGTCGTTGGAGGTGTTTAATCACTCGCTGGGTGAGAAGGACGCCTCGGTGCCGAGGGTGCATGCCGAACGGGGGATGAAGGGGCTGAGGTGGTTGTTGGAGGAGGTGGCCAATGTGCCGGCTTTGGGGGATGCGACTCAATAGTGGGGATGAGAGATTGTTATGCTATACTGTATGAGATACTGAGTGAAGAATCAAATCAGACTGTGCTGTCTGCTCAATGTGCTTGACATCATCACACCTAAGGCAAATATAATATGGCTGGAGAAGACAGGTTCATCGCGTATACTAGAGTATCATAAACCACAGCAAAGTATCGAGTATCATGATGACCATCGCATCAAACAGAGAGTATCGTAAAAAAACACAATGACAGCAACAACTAACCGGCCCAAGATATCTACCACGTCATATCATTATCATTCCCCACCTGACGCCAAAAATGCAACGCCAATAACCAAAACAACCAATTTCTCAGCAATCATCCTCCTCCACCACCACCAACCGCTTTTGCTCCGAGCACTGCTCGCCCTGCGGCGACGACGGCGATCCATACTCCTCGCTGAGCGCCCTCCGGTACGTCACAATCGCAAAATAATCGTGCAACGTCCCCAACAGCTGCAACACCACGGCCGTCCAGATCATTCCCTGGAAGGTATTGCCCCCGACCGCCGAGATCCCCTTTTCGCTGCCGGTCTCACTGATCAAATCCACAAACTCCTTGGCGATGACACTTGCGATGGTCGCCGCAATCCCGAAGCTGAACACGCTGGTCTGCTTGTCATTAGACATCGTCTTACACCATACAGCGAGGAAAGGCAGGCGCTTACCAGGAAAGCATAGAACTCCACACTAGTCGGGGGCGTCTCCAGCTCGGTCCCCGTGCCGGGGTAGCGTGGAGGCTGGGAGGCATAATCCGGTCGCGCGGCGCGGGCGGACGCGATCGTCCAGATACGGAGGGCAATGGCAACAATGGCAGCCACCGTTCCGAAAATCAGGAAGAGCACCATCGTAGTGTTCGTGGGCTTCAAGGCGTGGAAGTCATCGGTGATACAGGAAGGCCAGCTGCCGGGCTGGAGACCGGTCGGAGGGTTGCCCAGCGCTTGCTGGATGGCGTCGCCAGGGTTGAACTCGAAGAGGACACTGCGGTCCGAGCACTCGGTGATGCGGTCCTGGATGGTCGTGGTGTTCGACTTCTCGTCGATCACGCAGGTTTCCTGGTACCCGACGCAGTAGGACATGGGATATATGGTGAAGAAGTCTGGCGCCCCGTCACCGCCGGCGCCGCTGGTGTACAGCTAGAAGACGCTAGGTTAGTGGGTTGGTTCCTCCTTGTTGGGGCTGGGCATTACACACCGTCAAAAGATTGCCCTGCGGCAGGAACTGGCGTTGACTCCCGGAGAATAGACACAGAATCCCCAAGAGAAACGCGGTGAAAGAGCCGATGACCGGCAGGAGAGAGCGTAGGGAGCTCATGTTCGATATAGTCTTCGTTGAGTGTTGTTGGTGTCGAGATGTGTTGCCCGCTGAAACATCGGGGTTTGGTCGCCAAGCTTCCTCATGTGCACCGTCCCGGGGGATGAAAGTGAATCGTTAATAGAGTTCAGAACCATCGAGACTCTAAGGTCTGGCGCAATATATGGCACTGTGATTCCGACCATGTTCCTCCATCCGGCGCCGTCTGCGGTGCCCAGCCGCCTCGATTTCAGGAATGCTGGGCACGGCCCCAAACGGACGATCGCCGCCTCCCGAGAGGGATGGAGCTTGGTATGGGCCTCGTTGACCAGGTCTACTCCCCCGGGTTGCTCTTGGAGATTAGTGATCTCCGCGATTGAGGTACGAGTAAGAAGAGGATGCCGAAGCGGCCGTTGCGGTCACCAACATTGCTTGCAGCCACCATTCGACAGGCAGATTGACACATGACCAGGAGAGCCGAGGTGATATCATCTCTGCATTAATGCGATCTTCTGTCTATCATTGCCAAAATCTCGTGACCAGGGCGCCACCGATGCAACCGTCTCCGTTGTGAATAGATGGCAACCCAATTCAGCTAGGTGAAGGTTGACCCCGCAACGCCGCAGCGGATCTGATTTCCGCCCCGATCCCATCCCCCCACCCTGCCTCTGGAATGTCCCTGGAACGCAGGGGCCAGCGTACCACCACAAAAAATGCACCTCACGTTGCACGGGGAATGCTGGTGCAGAGGGTACCTGAGTGCGATCATTTCTCTTCTCGTGATTGGTGGATCAAGGCTCCGGTACTCAAAAGGGCGGATCCTGGTACTTGGTAGATTCGGACCGGCTCGGCGGTAAATCAGAGGTTCCTGGGAAAGTGGTTCCTCACATGGCGTTGCTGTGGGAACTGAAGTACTACTCCATATATTCATGGAAATCTTGTCTGTGGGGGAGGCAATGAGCAGTGAAATCTCTGACTCAGCCAACCCTGGCTCCTTGTAAACCCCTGACGCTGACGCTGAGAAATGGCCGCAAAGACGCCTTTGGTCCTGCCATCGATCATTAGCATGTGAGGGTCATAGAGGACTACCTTCTGGCCAGTCAGCTCATCACCGCCCATATCAGAACTCGACTAAGCTTTCGACTTTGTAAACCATCATGTTCGCTCGTGCGGTCTGGAAACGTGGGACCCCCAGTCTATCCAAGCAAATCACCCAAGCAACGCCTCGATGCAACCAGCGAGGTCGACTGCCGAGGTGGCTGGAAAACTCTCGACAGGTACGCCGGCCCATATAAGTAGGTCCCGTGGCCGCTCTCAACCCAGCGGAATGATTGTGTAGCCAACCTGTGTAACATACTCCCTTGTAACAGTGCTTGTTATCCGTGGGGAGCCGGCCACGCCTAGTCGCAATTGAATTCTAACGTCCTCGGTAGAGGTAGCTTTCGGGCTGACTGAGTGTCTTGAGGAGGCAGGAATATTCCCGTCCATGAACACACCCATTGTTTTTGAAACACTGCAAGCACATGGTCTTGACACGAATTCGGTCGGAGCTCAGCTGTAATAGCTCGCCACTGACCAAAGTTTCCACGGAATGTGCGAAGCTCACATCCGTCAATAGAAGGGGTCCGTTTCCTTTTGATGAGCCGTGTTGTCTGTCTGTTCTAAGCTGGGATCGCTGGAGGACGGAAAGAAGAATGAGAGAGGGTCTCAGTTTATTTGAAGGATGCGAGCTTGGAGAGGATCAGTAGAAGCCAGTCAACCCCGGTCTTTCTGCTTTCCCTATGACATGGTGACTGGGAGCATGGAGATGTAGTAAGCGTACAAGAATATTGTTTGCGGCGGGGGTAGATAGTAAAGCATTGCTTTCCAAACTACTGTTTTGATTTTCTCTCTCATACCCCGCATCTCAATACGGCACCTTTGCTGAGGCTTGTATGTTAAATCCTTCCGTTAAGGCAAAGTATTCTCTAGACCAAGCCTGGGTTTCGCAGTCTCGAGCAATGGTATCCACGCCATGTCGAAAAGGATGAAATCTGCAGCCATTGTAGATCAAAGTTTAATCCATTTCTTCATCTCCTGCAGAAGGAGAGACGGGCCTGAAGGCTTTGACCCCGACGATGGCCGGCGGTTAAAGTTCGAGAAGCAGCCCCTACATAGCAACGCCACATCTTGTCTGATGGAATTGGCAAAGATAATAGTTGAATTTCCGAACCGTACGAAGTTTCATCATTTTTTCTTCGATGTTGACGCACGTTCCAGTTCTTGTTGAGCTGATGCGCATCGTTGGCTTGTGATCGTATCTGGTGTGGCTGGAGTGGCAGTCCACTGCTGCACAAAGGGTCTATTAATCTAATTGAGTTTCACATTCCGTCTGCCCTATGCCTCCTTCAGCTGTTCCGCTGGCTCCACAAGCGGCGCCAGCTTACTCTTCCTTCGTAGGCGTGGGCCGTACACGTAGAAGAGTATAGGAATCGGAATCATCACCACCGCAATGCACCCAAGCAAGGTACCAGCCCACTGGATGCCTAGATTATGGAACATCTGCTCCGTGAAGAGAGGAAAGACTGCCCCTACCATGGACCGCATCATAGTATTGGCTGCGAAAGCCGACGCAGCACTGCAATGGGTTAGTGGATGCGTTCATGGAAAGCGAGCTCGGAAGGTTAGCTTACAATTGCAAATACGAGTCCAGCAGATAGTTGAATCCCTGCATGAAAATTGAAGTAATTCCAAACCCGACCATGACTCCGGCGGCCGTAGGAGCCATCCAGTGAATCGAACTGTTCCAGCCTGTCCAACCGAACCTGCATGATCTGTTAGCAAGCGATGAACCATCACAGGACGACGATTCTTACCAGAACAAGCCCCCTGCAAATGCCACACCACCGACAATACATGGCAGCAACCGCCATTCGGGAACGGGTACATTGTTGTTGGCCTTCAGCTTCCGAGTATACGACCCTTGCATGGATAAGACAAAAGCGCTGCCAGATATTTCTCCGATAATCAGGCCAATGAAGGGTAAACCGGCCACACCTCCAGTCATACCATAGGTGCCGGAGAATACAATCGGGTATGCCTCGAGCAAGGCATACGCTAACCCATAAATAAAAGACATATACAAAGTGAGCAGGAAGGCAATCGGTTCGGTGAAGAGGATCAAGAACGGGCGGGCCAGATTTTTCGTCACCAACTCCTTCAGATCGATTTCCAATTCAGCCTGGCGTGCGTGGATGCCCCAGTTTCGAGTTTGGCGTCTGAGGATAGCTGCCTTCTGTACTAGAATGACAGGGGCGTATGTCTCTTCACAGAAAACCATCATCAATGCCAGACTGAAGAATCCGACGATAGCAGGCAGATATAGGGTCCAACGCCAGCCAAGATAGCTCTCGGTAATGAAGCCACCGATAAAAGGCGCAGTAAATGGTCCTGTGAAAACGGACATCGTATACATGGCAATCGCAATTCCTCGTTGTTCATTGTTGAAGAGATCGGAAAGACTGGCAGGGACCAGGGCGATGACGCTAGCCGCACAGAATCCCGAGAAAAAGCGGGTCAGCATGACGGTTTGCGTATCTTTAGCCGTCGCGCAAGCGATGGTGAAGATGTCAAATCCGAGCATGCCAATCATCAATGGCCATCGCCGACCGAGCAATTCGGAGCAGGGCGCCCATACAGTCGGGCCAGCCGAGAACCCCAGTACGTAGAGAGTCGTGCCCAGAGCGGCAACTTCGGAACCAAAACCGAAGGCTTTCTCGACCTTTGAGGCCGCCGTTGCGAAAACCGCGCTGGCGAAAGCGGTGACCAAGGCACAGAAGGTCAATAGAGAAGCGATCATGACTCTAGGAAAGCATTAGCAGGTATAAGCACACGGCAAATAAGACGTGCCGTACCTCCGCTTGAGGGGCCAATTCTGAGGGTGCATGGGGTCATCGGCTCCGTCAAACTCCACCACATACGCCTCCGAGTCCGGAAGGGCGGGCGGATAGGGCTTTCCGGCACCCATGGGGAGCCATTGTTCACGCGGGGTACGACTACGATTAGATCCGACCGTGAGCTGTTGTTGCAGACGGTAGGTGTTGATTCGTTCCAGCTCAATGGTATCATGGTGGTCCGGGTACTCCGCCCGAGAATCGCGCCGGGAGGACCTGGCGAAATGGTCCGAGACCGAGGAAGCGTCCTCGGCCTCGAGGTCATACTTCTCGGCAGGAACTTGACTCATGTTCACAGTTCAAAATCTGTGCCCGTGAGGAATTTCCTTATGGCGACGACGGCGAGAGACAGGAATGAGCAGGACACCACGGCCCAAGGGGGGCCAAAGAATCATTAAAAGGAGCTAGGTCCTGGCAAGCTGACCGGTTTTTTCGTCTCTTCCCTCGTTCAAAAAGTTTTCCTCCCGGATGCCGATGCCGGTTGAAGTGGGTCAGAGACGGGGCAGACGGGGCCATTATCTCGAGATCCATAGTGCGTATCTTGCGAGTTCCGAGAGTGGCAATCCACCACTTATCGCCAGGGTGCCAGCTGCGCTGAATGCGGGTAAAGCCCGGCCGCGGGAAGAAACGGAGTCATAGTCATTTCGTGGATCAATCGCTTGGATTTCACCATCGTCGAGTCGAGTGAGGTAAGTCAATGTGGCAGGCAGGCAACAGGTGTTAATTGTTAATTCCGCAGAGGTGAGCGACCACGGCTGCGAGTGGACCCAGACGGGAAGCACATCATCGGGTACTCGGCATCAGGCTGAGTTGAGGGAGTCTGGGGGCCAGCCAGGAACCATCAGTATAGCACCAAATCAGAAGATAAGCAGATACACTCGGGTCAAGCATACACAAATCGATAGTCAGTGCATGAGAAATCCACTCATTGGGAGCAATGCATCACTGTGAAGCAGCTCGAAGGCCAGTAGCGCCGAGCCCAGTCCACCTCCACCGCAGCTGCACGTGGCTGAGCAGCCTAGGGGATTGCTGGAAAAGACAATCTTTTCTTCCAATAATCAGTCTGGTCGCTGATTGCTGACTAGGATC